GAGTTCTTGGCCTGTTCGATGAGAACCTTCAGCTGCTGGACGTTGCTCAGCAGCGTGTTGGCCATTTCCTCCAGGTACACCCAGGTGCTCTTCTGCCCGTTGCCCACTGCTGGCGCTCCACACGCCACAGAGCTCACCTCCAGGCCCGTCACCAGGGACGCGGACGGAGACGAGGCCGCGGACGCCAAGGCCACTTTCGCTTGAAGGGGCTGAGGGACCATGGCCAGCGCTGGCAACGCCGCCAGCACTGAGACCAACACACAAGCATGAAAATGGATTTCCCCCTGCGCCGATTTAGTCTCCAGAAGCAGCACGGGTCAGGGTGAGTGTACCTGTGGTGCTGGCGAACACGTCGCTCTGCGCGGCGCCGTCTGAGATGATGGCAGCATCTCCTGCTGGAGTCCGGTCAAAGGTCAGTGTGCCTGAGGTGGTGAACTSTCCTGACGGCGACACTGTGACTGTTGGAAGAAGGTCGAGATGTTGTAGGTTAGAAAATCCACGGTTTTACTCCTGACCATTACAGACAGAAATGTTTTATAATCTGGGGGATTCTCCTCCAATCACACATCAGATCAGGTCATGTGACATACATGTGGTTCCTGGKGTCAGCTGGATGTTCTTGGAGGTGGGAAGGTCCTTCTTTAAGGGGATGATGGGCGGCTCGATGTCTTTTTTCCGTCTCTTGTATGGAACAAACAGACGAATTGGGCCGATCTGGACAATAAATGACAGGGCCTCAGTAAATCAGAGCTAATAAAATGAATTCTTATTTACTACGAAACACAACAAAAAGATGTTTTAGCTTTCCTTTGCTCAACAACCAGCTTTCAATTCAGAAACAAACTAAACAAACAACAAATAAAAACTGTCAKGATTTTAAGGCTTATGCCTATCACCCACTGGCCGTGTCTCAATTCATGGGTTGTAACCGACAGACTGCGGCCCATGTTGGCCACAGTCTATGTGGGCCGTAGGCCGCTCATGTGGGCTGCACAAATGGCTGTGCAATGATGAGACAGTCTATGGAAGATGTATGCTTGCATTACCACYCATTGCCTTTTTACCATTGTGATACGTTTTATATCACATCGCTTCAGTTGTTTTTCAAAGTATAACTTCATAAATTTCAGTCTTAGTAGAAAAATGTTTCAAATAAATAGAAAGCATTAATAGTTTGTGTTTAGCTCCAGTATCAGTACTTGTAACTGCATTTTATTTAACATCTCATTACAATAAAACTTTCTTCAGCAAAGTTGCTAAACTTACATTTTTTGGTTTGTGATAATTTTCCAAACTCCACCATAAAAAAAACCAAACAACAAATCTCTGCTGTAAAAGAAAAATACCTCCGCTGTCATTGTTTGTCTGCTTAATTTGCTGACAGCGCAATGAATTCTAGGATACCGTTGTCTGCGTGGGATACTCAGATGCAGCCGATGTTTTCGGAGTTTTGTCGGCCATCTGAGTTAGCGTCTACGAGTTGGGGCGGTGATGTAAGTGGCCGAGTCAGCTGCAGCTAGGGCTGCCATGATTAGTCAAATAGTCAACGACTAATCGACAATTAAAATAATCAACGACTAATTTAATCGTGGATTAGTCGTTTTTTTTTACTTTGTTTTTCTCTCCAAACTGCTTTGACACATTCCACTGCCACATCTGCCTTTCTGTCCTTGACACACATGCACAGTAGTGGTATCTGGGGTAGGCCGTGGACGTCACAAGACATTATACAGACAGGCTCTGGTATCATGGCTACCTGACAAC